ACAACAACCCTGCATCTTGGCCATGGCGTTGTTACGCGTCCCTCTCTTCTATCACCAACATCCTTCGCAGTTCTCCATGGATCCATATCTCCTTCACTAGTAGACAGAACAACAAAGAAGCTGACTGGGTAGCTCGCAACTGTAGACAAGATACCCTTCATGCCAATTGGCTTTCTGTTTTGGCTATTATTTCCAGCATGCTGTAACTTCTCTGCCTCCTTTGGGCTTGAATGAATGAAATTATTATTCAAAAAAAAAAAAAAAATCCAAAGCATCAAGGATGTTACTCTCAATGTACTCTATCAAAAAACTATTCATGTTCCGTCGCTCATATGATCCCGAGGTGTGTGCTTCACGTAATCCCTTACAGAAAATACTCTTTCCCGAGACATTATATGATGTTTTGAGACAACCATTTTTCTAAAAAGGTTATCAATTGTCTTCGATTGATCTTGCAAACCTCTCAACTGTCTTCACATAGAATATATAAGTATCTATTTAATGAAGATCAAGATGTTGGATATCATCTTTTGAGAACTCATTAGTCATCAGAATAAAGGTGGCAAGATATAGCAAGTTGATAAAATAATGAAAACATGACTTTATATTTTTTTACACAACCATTTTCCTATAAAAACTCAGCAATTGTCTTTAATCCTGCACACATCTAAGTGTCCTCATATCAAATATATAAGCATCTAATTAATGAAGATCAAGAGGTAACATATCATCTCTTGAACTCATATCAAATATATAAGCATCTAGTTAATGAAGATCAAGAGGTAACATATCATCTCTTGAAAACTCATTAGAATAAAGGGTTAATATCTTTGTATGGCCTCAACTTTTCACATAATAAATATGTTAGCCAATCTTTTCGATCTATAATATCATGGTCTGAACTATACACCAAGGTAACAAAATTGGCCAAACCCGAAAATTGACCGTTATCTTGGACGGTCAACGCGTCACGTCACTGGCAAGTCAGCACATTTCACTTAATTTTTTTTTATATTTTCCACCTATTACTATTAATTTTTTTCATTTTGAATAAAAAATTGAAAAATGAAAAATGAATTTCGTGTTCCGAAATTCAATTTTTTTTTTAAATTTATTCAAAATGAAAAAAATAAATAGTAATAGGTGGAAAATATAAAAAAAATTAAGTGAAAGATGCTGATTTGGCGGTGACGTGGCGCGTTGACCGTTAGTCAACATGTTTGACCATCCAAGATAACGATCAATTTTCAGGTTTGACAATTTTCGTTACTTTGGTGTATAGTTCCGACCATGATACTATAGATCAAAAAGAATAATCATGATGTTTATTATTTGAAACGTTTAGACAATACAAATATATTAACCCTAAAAATAAAAGATAGCAAGATGTAACAACCTTTTCCATGTTAAAGTCAACAAATGAAGAGGTCGATTTTGAGGAGGTTGTAGAAACTGGGGCCTTGGAAGCCAGGAAGAGCTCAATGATAATTTGAGGAAGCTGTGAAAGTTGGGGCTGGAAAGAGGTTGATGATAGGATTGGGTGGGGAATAGATGCAGGCGAATTGTATTTTCGTGTATATAATATTAAATGTTACATTCTAAGTTTATAACTAAACTAAATGTTACATATAAATTAGAGAATGACATGTAACTTGGTGTTAAAAATGTTTGTGGTTAGTAGAGAGGTCCCTTTGTTCAAAACTCTCTCAACAAGGCACTAGTATCAAATTTTCATGTTTTTTTTTTTTTCAATATGAGGCTATGCATGAGAACTCCCTTAGGCCCAAGTGGCTTCGATAGTGATTATTACTTATTAGTCATTCATTTATTCTTTACCTATCTAAAGTACATGACTCTGTAAATGATAGTTATCTCGATTCTTTAAATCCAAATCTGAAAATCAGTTTAGTAATAATCAACGATTTTGATTCACCAAAGTGCAAAGAACTACATTCAGCAAGAAGATTACTTTAAGTATGGCCCACCAAAATTTTGATATAAGGGTCTCATCCTTCAAAAGTTAAATTATATTTATAATTAGAAAATTAAAAATATAATTTCTTAAATTAAAAAATTTCATACTAATACAAGCTACAGCAAAATACCCTGACATGTTTTCATATTTTGAAAAAAATTGTAAATATACACATCGTCTACCGTGCTCAACAAATATTTTTCAATATATTCTCCTAGACAGTTATTCACAAACTAATAACATGTTCTCTTTCAACACTCGTCGTCTACAGTGCTCAACTTGTTCTTCGAATAGACCAAAGCTAAATGTATTTCGACTTCTATGAAGTTTCTTTCCTTGCGAGCCTAGCGTCGTAAGCACCTTCCTCTTGGATCCGAGTCTTAGAAATATCTCAATCCAGCATTCCATTGAACGGGATATAGATCCAACTCTCACTATTAGCGAAGGATCTTGAGTCGAATTGATCGTGTCATGTGCAACGTCAGCAGGGTTCTTCGATCGAGCAACTAGCTCCTTCACCTTCACTTTTCCAGGCCAATATACTCTTACAACACTTACAATTGAAACCATTAAAATCAATACAGGTTTGAGAAACAAATAAACCAATGATGGCTAGTAGAGTCTGTCCATTGGACTAAGGTAGGGTTTATCACAGGAACGACTGAAGAAGAGGGATAGAAGATATTCGACTCTCTGGCTATTTTGCTACTTCTTTAATTGTGCTTTGTTAATATCATAAGGGCTGAGAATCAGAATTTAGTTTCAGGGTTGAATGGAAAAATAGAGTTTAATTGTACTTTGTTTTAAGGGTTAATATTTTCGTATGACCTGAACTTTGACCAAAATAAACATTCTGACCAATCTTTTCGATCTATAACATCCTGGCCCGAACTATACACCAAAATAAACAATTTGGCCAAACCCGATGTTTGACCGTTAACTTGGACGGTCAAACGCGTTGACTAACGGTCAACGCGCCACGTCACTGCCAAGTTAGAAGATCTGATAAATATTTCATTTTTTATTTTTGGTTTAACTAAGGTATTAGATGATTTTTTTATTTTATAATAATTTAAAATTAGGTAATGTGTGGAAATTGTGAATTATTTTAAATATTTTATGCTGACTTGGCAGTGACATGACACGTTGACTAACGGTCAACGCGTTTGACCGTCCAAGTTAACGGTTAAAAGTCGGATTTGGCCAAATTGTTTATTTTGGTGCATAGTTCGAGCCAGGATGTTATAGATCGAAAAGATTGGCCAGAATGTTTATTTTGATCAAAGTTCAGGCCATACGAAAATATTAACCCTTGTTTTAAACGTATAATTAAATATTTACATTTATGTTATGTTAAATTATATATAAAGAACGATTACCAACATACTCTCGTCTTCTCCTTATAACGAAGATCATGATTCTCTAGTAGATAAACTAATTAAGAGGTTTAGTTGGGGAATATCATCACCAACGCCTTAGTTTGAGTTCCTCGTTGATGGTTCATCATCATTTTTATTCCGCATTCGTTCTTAACTATTAGGTTAACATAAATTCATATATCCTTCTTAACTTTTGATAGTCTAACAAGATGTGGATTAGAGAACTATTAATATAATTCATATGTACAGAATCCAACAATATACTACTGCATGGACACAATAATATACAGAATCCAATAAAAACGCGCTAATTGTAGACAAGTGCCAAGATTATTATTATTATCAATATAACATTGGAGAAGTCGGTATCGTTGATGATTAGGCGCGCGGAATAGGAATTACGAGCAAGTGCTTCACGAGCTTTGTTTTACTAGCGCTTGATGGGGAGCGAGACGGGACACGAGAAACCAAAAGCTAGCAGAATGGGATCACGAAAAAGGTTGAAACCAAAATCAGCAGCAGTGCCCAATAAACGCGTTTTTCAGAAGCTAGCAAGCACACGTTATGGTAAATATGTGGCAGAGGTTGAACTAGTTAATGGGAAAACGATGCAGCAGAAAAGAACAGAACAGAACAAGATAAAACAAAACAAAACAACCACACAACTCACCAGTGTCGTTGTCGCTTTCTATTTCTTACCAATCAACTTTTTTTTTTTTTATTAGTTCCCCACACTCGCAAAATTACTGGATTTTATTGGGGACAACGGGATGGAGGAGCTCACTTTGAGGTTAGCTCAGAGTTGAATTTGTACTCTATTTTTTTTTACAGAATATATAAATCTGATGTATACAGAAAGGTATTGGTACTAAATGAATGTATAACACAAACGATAAATTTGTATCATAACAAAAAAAAAAAAAAAAAAACAAAAGCAGTGTTGCTTATATATATATATGAGCATAGTAGTAACAAATTGATAGAACGAGAACAAGAACAACACGCGATTTACGTGGTTTCCCCGTTCGATGTGAACGAGACTACTCAACGGAGAGCAAGAGCTCTCATGTTTTCTTATTATTTTGTGTCACAATATATGTCGGCTACATCAATGCCTTCTACATACATACATCATATATATATATATACTTCGGTGCACTCACTTTTTTGGGTGCATTCAGTGTACCCACCTCTAAAAGTGGTCATAATACATTAAATTTTGTATGTATGACTGAAGACATAACCATATATATATGTAGGGTTAAAGACACATTTGGTCACTGAGATTACAAAATCGGGAAATGTTTAGTCACTAGAAAAAGTTAATATCAAATTTGGTCACTACAATTACTAAAACTGGACACATTTAGTCACTCGCCGTTAGTCTCCGTCCAACTCCGTTAATGAAGTCCGTTAAGTGCTGACGTGGCTAACGTGAACGCCTAGTCAGCGCCTTTTTGAGCCAGAAATGGTCAAACCCGACCTGCCACGTCACTAAACCAGCCATATCATAACCCCAACCCATGAACCCAACCCGACCCTGAACAAAACCCGACCCACTTAACAAAAGCAAACCCGCCTCACTTCTCCTTCCTCTCGTTCCTCATCTCCCCACCTCCACCTCTCACAAGCTTCCCCTTAATCAAATCTTTTCCCTTCTTTCTTGGCCTCTTCTTCTTCCCATCAGCAGCACCTTGATTCCCATTCCTCTTCCCGTTTCCCCCATTCACCTGCTGCCTCCCGTTCTGAACGTTTCGAAATACAGAAACCGGTTCGATCAGCACGGTATCATCAATTACTTGAACCTTGAGAGAAGGTCCATTAGACTCCTCAAATCCATTGGAAGCACCCACCACATTTCCCAGGAAGGTTTTCCCTTTAAAGATCGCTCCACCTTCAAGGTCAGCCATCAATTTTTTCTTCTTGGCCTCCAACAAACTCTCCCCGCCCAAAATCTCCACTCTACCGTCGACATCTTCAGCAGCGTCGGAGTACCCAGAAGTCAGATTAGGACAAAGTACCATCTTGCCTCCACAGGGACCAAGAACCAGCGCTTCTTGAGCATGGTCATCAACCAGTTCTTCACAAACTACGCATCCAGCCTTCTCGAGAGGATGAGAACTGGGATTGTTGCCCTCAAGAAGCAAACGACCATCTTCTTCGGCTGCAGTAGACGGACCAGCGACGATGGGCGATAATGGCTGGGGCGAATCTTTCATCGCGGGAAGCGGAGAGCAAGATTCAGAGATTTCCTCGGAGCGAACGGCGGGAAGGGCGCATCCGCCAGAATCAGAATCCATAGCTTCAGCCATTCTTTTGATGGTCAATTCCACAGCGAGTAATTTGAGAGATTGGCGGAAAGAGATGAAGGATTGGGATTTGGGGGTTTTTTTTGGTTTTCTGGGTGGGTTGGGATTTGGGGGAAGAAATGTATAAGAGGAGAAACAGATTTGGTGAGGGATGGTGAAGAATTGGTCTGCTGGGTTAGGTCGACCAGGTTTGCGGGAGGAGGTGGGAGGAAGGAGGAGAGCTGCGGCGGCGGTGGTTTTGGGGAAAGAAGGAGGTGGGAGGAAGGAGGAAGAAGGGTTGGGTGGGGTTGGGTCAGGGGTTGGGTTGGTTTTAATGACGTGGCGGGTCGGGTTTTATTTTTGTTGGGTTATATCCGGCTGATTAGGCAATTATGTTTGCCACATCAGCACTTAACGGACTTCATTAACGGAGTTGGACGGAGACTAACGGCGAGTGACTAAATGTGTCCAGTTTTAGTAATTGTAGTGACCAAATTTGATATTAACTTTTTCTAGTGACTAAACATGTCCCAATTTTGTAATCTCAGTGACCAAATGTGTCTTTAACCCTATATATGTATGTATGTATGTATGTATGTATGTATGTATGTATGTATGACTGAAACCCTTCTACAAGATGCTAGGGTTCGGCACAAGCTGGCTAATAACAAATCAATGCCATCAAATACAAAACTGGACATGTAAGTCCTTAAGCCATGCATGTCAAGCACGTGCATGTTCCGCTACACTCCCCCTCAAGCGGAGGCGTGAATGTTATGAAGGCCAAGCTTGGAAGACAGGAATGAGAACTGATCAGCCCTCAAACCCTTAGTGAAGATGTCGGCGACCTGATGCTGAGTAGGGATCTTGGTCGGAGCTATTTCCTTGGAGACCATGCGCTCACGAACAAAATGACAGTTCATCTCAACATGCTTTGTACGCTCATGGAATACGGGATTGGCTGCAATGTGTAATGCAACATGGTTGTCGCAATGTAAGGGAGTAGGCGCATCCATGACCACACCAAGCTCGCGGAACAAGTAGCGCAACCAAATAGTTTCACTAACAGTACTGGCCATGGCCCTGTATTCGGCTTCTGCAGAAGAACATGCAACAGCAGTTTTTTTCTTCGTGCGCCAAGATATAGGACTGTGACCAAGCTAAATAAAATACCCAGTAGTTGAACGATGTGTGTGCTGGCAGCCTCCCCAGTCAGCATCACAGAAAGCTGTGAGGGTCAGCGAGCGCTAGGATGGAAAGAATAAGCCTTGACCAGGAGAACTCTTCAAATATCTTAAGACACGATGAGCAGCATCAACATGTGTTTGACGAGGATCATGAACAGCTTGACTAAGAACATTGACAGCATAAACAATGTCGGGCCGAGTGACTGTCAAGTAGAGCAAGCGACCGATCAACCTGCGATAAGAAGAGGGGTCAGCGGCACGAGACCATCGAAAGAACTTAGTCGATGGTTCTGCTCAATCGGGAACAAACAAGGACGAGCAGCTTCAACACCAGAATTCGCGAGAATGTCGAGGGCATACTTACGTTGTGTAAGCACAATACCTTTCTTGGAGCGAGAAACTTCGACACCCAAGAAATACTTCAAAGGACCAAGGTCTTTAATGCTGAAAGTTTGATGCAAGAAAGCCTTCACTTGCTCAATCTCGGGAAGAGAGGTACCCCCAAGAATAATATCATCGACATAAATCAGGGCGACAAGGAAGGTGTCAACGCGGCGAAAAGTGAAAAGGGATATCAAAACCATACCCCATCAATGCTGCAGTGAACTTGGTATACCAATTACGAGAGGCCTGCTTAAGTCCATAAAGAGACTTCCGAAGACGACAAACCCTGTCATCGCCGGGATGAGCAAAGCCTAGAGGAACCTGCATATAGACCTCCTCCTCTAAGTCACCATGCAAGAATGCATTGTTGACGTCCATTTGATGTAGCAACCAACCCAACTGAGCAGCAAGGGCTATGACGCAACGAACGGTGACCAACTTAGTAACATGCGCGAATGTGTCATGAAAATCGACTCCTTCAACTTGAGTATATCCTTTCGCCGCGAGGCGAGCTTTGTAGCGCTCAATGCTACCATCCGGATTAAATTTAATTTTATACACCCACTTGGAATCGATCACGCGCTTCCCAGGAGGCAAATGCGCTAGTACCCAAGTCCCATTAGCCTCCAACGCAGTAACCTCCTTTTGCATGGCATCACGCCAAACCTTGTGACGCACGGCTTCATGGAAGAAATGAGGTTCCATTGCACGGGAGATTGCTGCAATATAAGCTTGATGATTAGAGGACAAACAAGCATAGTTAACCACAATATTTAATGGGTACTTAACCGAGGAAACATGACCTGAATTTGAAGTAGGAAACTGAAGGTTATAATTATCGACGAGAAAGCTAGGAGGCTTCCGATTCCGAGGGCCATGACGCAAATCAGGAGGAGGAGCCTCAACTAGTGAACTAGGCGAGCTGAGTTTGGCAGACGGAGAGCTGGACGGGCTGACCATGCCAACGTCCTCCTGCGCAGTCGAGGAGTGGTATGACGGCGTGTGCGTAGAAGCACCAGGAACAAAATCCTGTTCGACAGCCAGCTGGGGAGATATTGGCTGAAAACCGTCAACTCATCCTCGGGGTCAACAGCAGCTTCGGTAGGGACGACCGGTGATTGATGCAAGACCGGAAGGATTTTACGAAAAGGAAACTTGTCTTCACAGAAAATTATGTCACGGGATGTGAACAATTTTAGCATGCCCAAATCCATGACTCGATACCCCTTTTGTGAAGCTGGATAGCCCAAAAACACACACACGATCTGCTAGGAACGGAACAACAACAAGAACGAGGTTACCGAATCTGGAGCTGAGTCGCGGACTAGTCGCTCTCTTTAAGACGTTTGCGGCACTGCCCTCGATGCGCACGACAGACTATCAACCGGTCGTCTCCAGTATAAAACAACTCCTCTTTGTACTCGCGATTTTGTGCGAAAACCGGAGCTCTCTGAACACTCTCTCTATTGTGTTTATGCTCGTTGTGGTGTGTTTAGAGGGGCTGGGGAGGCGGCTATTTATAGGAGCCGAACCTCTAGGAATATACCCTCTAGCTTGGGGAGTAAGTCGGATTAATTAAGGAAGATAATTACTTCCTTAATTAAAACCGTCGATTAAGATAAATCCTGCGGGATTATCCTTCGAATATTTCTTTTTAATCGATTATCCTTAGAATATTCCTCAGATTAACCGATTAATAATTAATTACTAGATAATTAATTTCATTCGGAATTTCTCCAAAAAATATATATAGTCTCAAGTGAACCTACCAATCAACCGATCGACCGGTCGGTCGGATGGACGGCGCGCGCGCGTGTTTGTGGTGGTCAGTTAGGTCCTTCCTCTCCCATAAAAGTGGGTCACCCCAAGGGGCATTGCCCTTAGGAGAGAGGCTCCTATCTTTATACACATTTCACCAAGTAAAACTACCAATGTGGTAGTTTTTCCACTTGAGAGACTATAGCTTTCAAAGCTATTCATACATACATTTCCAACAATCCCCTACTTGAATAGTTTTGAAACTATCTCTGAGCATTAACAGTTCCATAAGATTGGGCATAAGCTAAGGCATCGCGAAGATTTGAACCTTAGCGTAGTGGTTACACTTCCGATTTCATAAGGGTGACTCGTAGTCTTGAACCCTATCTCAGACAGTGTAGCACACCGGATCTTTTTGAGTTGTGTTCTCTTCTTAGCCCCTGTGTTTATGGCCATGCACGTTATCCTGGTTTAGTGAACGCTCTAGCAACTTTGTGCCTCCAAAGTTCCATAGGGAGCGGCCCCACTCCCACATTCACATAGGTGAGTCTATCAGGAGTACCCCCAAAGTAAAGTACTCCACCCCACATAAGGTATAGATCTCATTAAGAGTTATTAACTCAACCTCCATTGCTTTGGGATTCATGCTTCACTATGCATGAACTTTTTGCATACTACTCATGACTTGTTATTACCCATTGAACCCATTTCTTGGGATCTCTAGTCTATTGGGTTTGGTTACCATCACTTGTAGTCCGTGGTTCGGTAGGCATAAGTCTCATACCCTTGGCGGTATTCTGGACTTTCTCTCTAGGTAATCCTTTCATCAAAGGATCAGCTAGATTATGTTCGAATCTTATATGATCCACCCTCACTGCTCCTATCTTTAGGAGTTCTCTTACAGTACTGTGCTTACGACGAATCTGTCGTTTCTTTCCGTTATAGAACAAGTTCCCAACTTTAGCGATAGCTGCGGTACTATCACAATGGATCAATACCGGAGGGACCGCCCTTTCCCATAGGGGAATCTCTGACAACAATCCTTTCAACCAACTTGATTCTTCACTAGCCGTTGCTAGTGCTATCATCTCTGATTCCATAATTGATTGAGCTAGGGTTGTTTGTTTAGGAGAGAAACTAGCATCTCACATTCCATTGGTGAAGCTCGAAGGAATAAGTATGGGTCATCTGCAAATAACAAGTGTGAAACGACTGGACATCTTGGACTAATACGCAGACCAGTTAACGAACGGTTTTCCAATGCCTGTCGGACTAACGCTGCAAACCTCTCCGTCCATATGACAAATAACAAAGGAGACAACAGATCCCTCTGCCTAAGACCA